CCTTCAACTTATTAGACTGATTCAGTATTGACTTTGACTGTCAATCTGGGTCTCAATTACAGTCCTCTCGATACAAATCTATATGTGAAAATGTCACAATTCACAGCATAGACGTCTAGCCAAAATTTAGGCATGTCACCGCGACCTCTGAGTGGATAGCACAAAGAAGGATGGGTTCCATACCAGCGTCCTTGCAAGCCCTATTAAAGACTGCAGCACTGACGAGTGCAATGTCGACCTCGGGAGTTTCCAGTTGAGCAGCGAATTGAGAGACCGTAGGGTAAGAATAGATGGGTTCAAAGGGGAATTTAGATGAGAGGGGCTTGGCCCGTAACGTCCGGGAGCGGGAGCGAGAGCAAGGTGAGTCCCCAGGAGGGGTCTCCAGAATTGTCGGTGGAACCGACGGCGAAGGTTCCGGTAGCGGAACAGCGACCTTTGCAACAACGGGGTTGATAGCAGAAGGCACAGACGTCTGTGGAGAAACAAGATGTGAAGTGTTACGGAACGTAATGTTTCGAGATGCCCAGTCAATCAACAGATTGTAGCGGGATAAGAAACTGTAACCTAATACTGCTTTACAAGATGAATCTAAATGAGTAACATAAAAGGGTAAGAGAAGCAGCTCGCCAGAAGGGAACCGAACAGCGATATTCGCCATATCGGTAATGGGTTTAGAAGATAATGAACCATCAAAGAGACGAAGATTAACAGGAGAGATCTTGGTCGTAGGAATAGAATTTTGTGAAACATAACAAGTATCGATGAAAGAGTCAGTAGAACCAGAATCAACAAGAGTAGGAAATTTAAGAAGAGCAGAGATAGGTTCAGCCGGCGTGGCCGAATCGGATAACAGAAATTCAGTAGTTAATGATATTACAAGAGATCATTCAATCGAAGAAAGAGCGGACGCGTTGAGATATAACTCCCCAGGTGAGGTACGAACCTGATCAATGCAGCTCCCGTTTCGTACCGGGGAACAAGAGCTGCGGACTAGTTTTCCGATTCCTCTTCAACAACCTCAACGGTTGCTTCGGGGGTTTCTTCAACCTCGGCAGCACGGCCCTTCGATTCTCGGGCCTTTCGCTTATTGCAGTCAGCAATCTGATGCTTACCACCGCAGAAGAGACAAAGATTGTTCTTCATCCTTCTTTCCTTCTCGGAGGGAAGGACTTTCCCATCTGCACCAAGATGGTTGAACGCGGGGCGCTGACCGCCGGATTGGCCGGAATTCGAAGAGTTCTGGGGCTTACCATTGTTGTTAGGCTTACCACCAGAGACAGGTTTAGGCTTCAGCGTGAACAGCGCCAAAGAGCCAGATGGCTGAGAGTTGTTTTGCTGGTGAGTAGAACCAGTCTTAAAGTCCGAGGAACCCTTCTTCGGGTTTACCAGCCTCACGCTTTCTAGTTTCTTTGCGCTTCCAATAACGGTTGTCAATACGAAGAACCTCTTGACAATAATCGGCGAGCGTCGTTGGTTCGGGCAAATGCGCCATTTCGTCCTTGATGCGTTCAGCTAAACCTCGTCCATAAGCCCATTTCAGGGCAGCAGAATCCCAGTTGGTACTAGCAGCCAGGGTGTTGAACTGGATGTTGTATTTCCGGATGTTTTTGGTTTCCTTCATCTTCAGGTTACCGAGAGAATCTTCGGCCTCGCCTTGCACGTCGTAAACGCCGAAATTGTCCTGAAGCTCCTTTACAAGGGCTTTGAAGGAGGACATCCATGCCGGCTACGAGTCGAGATCCGGGTCAAGGATATCAGGGACAAACCATTCTTTGGCTGACCCACTGAGATAGGAAAGGGTGTAGTTCACCTTCCGTTGGTCGGTGAAATACTTTGGATGGTCATTGAAGACCAGGGCGAGATTGACAAAGAACGTCTTGAGTTTTCAGGGGTCCGAACTGTCGAATACCTCTGGCTCCTTGACCTTGCTCTTGGATTCAGAGCTATCAGAGGGACGGCCGAGGGCGGCGAAAATGGTGCCAAGGGTTTCAAAGGAACCCTTGAATCCCGAGAGAAGTTCCAACATAGCACATTGCTTGTTGGGGATGTCAGGAGAGATTGGGGAACAGGGTCCACCAGGTCCACTGGGGTCACCAGGCTCACCACGCGGTAAACCGCCAGAGTCGTCATCCAGATTGTTGTTGTCATTGTCGGCACCCGGATCGTCGGGGTCAACAGGAGGGTCTTGATTGTCATGATCACCAGCATCCAGATCAAAGTGAGGAGGCGGGTCACGAGGAGATTCTGAATTAGCACGACGTTGAGGTTGTTTTCCAGCATGATGGGCTATGGCTTGAAGGATTGGAGATTCAATCTGAGTAATAGACCGGCCCTGAATCGGGGCGACCATGGGGGGTTGTCCACGGCGAGGAGTCAAGACTTGGACAGGTTGTCCATCACCGGTATACAAGGTACTGTACTCGAATTGTTGTTCTTCTTCCATAGTTTCAGGAAGAGTCGACGTAGTAGGAACAGTGGCTGGACCGAAACCGCAATTACGGCGATGTGGTTGACCGATGGCAGAAATAGATTCGGAGAAAGGGGCAAAGGATTGGGCTGTGGTGAAGAAAGTATTTTCTTCGGAGTTAGCTCTAGATTGAGCTCGAGTTTTCGGAGGCATAAGAAATGATATGTCAGTACAACGTTAACGGATTGAGTTTAATTATACTGTTAAGATCATGTACACCGTGTAACTGTGCCAGAGGCCACAAGGTGTCTAAAAGCGGGAGGTCAAGTGGGACAGTAGTGAAGTTATTAACAACACCGCCGTTACGCCGTTAGTCCCCGGAGATCGAGAGTATAGAAGGGAGGAGCCAGTAGCAGCCAAGTCGGAGCGGCGGTATCGCCGATGACGAGGAGTGAACCAAAGAACGTCTAAGTCCTAAGGTCATAGTAGAGAGTACTCCAAGGCGTAGAGCCTGAAGACTTAGAGAAGAGCTAAGTTGGAAGGGAGATCTAAGTTGATCTAAATCAATAATTAAACTGAGGAACTACAGTAGCGTACAGGCAGTATTTATATCTACGGAGTGGCGCAGCGGTGCAGAGCGCCAGACTAACTACTAGGATCTATACGTGTAGTACCTGCAGGGTAAAGTAAAAAACAATAAGGAGGGACTAGAATGAAAGGGTATGTGTAGCGAGAAAGAACAATAAGGGGTAGATCTTCGGAATACCGAGCGGCGGAATGGGGCACCGAGGCATGGACTTGACAGATTGGGCACATCCAGCCATCTGAGAAGTCAGTTGTTTCTGCTACTCCATAGGTGCTTATATTGTTGAAGGCTACTGTCATCAATCCAATAAAGTCAAAGGTCTCCTTCCCGGATTCCTTCTCTGTGTCACATTGTCTGCAGATTGATTTCCATAGTTCATATGTTGTTCCATCAATACCAGGTGCGGAGTGATGTTTGGTAAGCTTCAATGCTCTCTTGATTGTTAGGGTATCTAGTTTTTTTGCTAAGTTGATGTTCTGCTCTTTACTGGTCCTGGTTTTGATTGAGTTCAGGACCTCAGGTGTGATGTCGTTCCGTTCACTTTCCCTTGTTTGGTCTATCCCTTTGTGCTGTAGGTTCTCGTGGTACTCTTTCACAAGCTCAGCCATCTGTCAAGTCCATGCCTCGGGCCTCCATTCCGCCACTCGGTATTCCAAGATCTATCTTTTATTGTAATCTCCTCCTTATTGTTCTTTCTCGCTACACATTCCCTTTTTGTTTAGACTCTCCATTATTGTCTTATCCTTTCCTCTATTGTCTTATTCCTTACCCCGCAGGTACTACTCGTATAGCTCCTAGTAGTTAGTCTAGCGCTCCGTACCGATGCGCCGATCCGTAGATATAAAAACTGCCTGTACGCTACTGTAGTTCCTCAGTTTAATTATCGACTTAGATTCCCTTCCCAACCTAGTTCTCCTCTAAGTCTTCAGGCTCATCACCTTGAAGTACTCTCTACTCTAACCTTAGGACTTATAAGTTCTTTGGTTCGCTCCTCGTCATCGGCGATACCACCGCTCCGACTTGGCTGCTACTGGCTCCTCTCTTCTACACTCTCGATCTCCAGGGACTAGCGGCGTAACGGTGGTGTTGTCAATAACTTCACTACTGTCCCACTCGACCTTCCACCCTTAGATACCTTGTGGCCTCTGGCACGGTTACACGGTGTACATGATCTTAACACCATTTTTCTGGAGTTTTTTTCATATGCATTTCCCAGTACGAAGCTGAGTTGGTTTATGTCTATGTCTGGTTTTCGTAATGCATAAAACAGATCACGGAGCTTTTTTTCTCTATTAATCTGGGACATATAACAACTGGGGAGTTCTCTCTCTAGTCGGTGGCACGTTCGACCATCTTTTTGCATTTTCTGTAGCTGTGTTTGCTCCAGCTTAGTTACTTTTAATTTCAGCTTTCATGCTTGTTCTATCCTTTGCGTTTCTGTCAGCTCAACATCATTCAAGGTCCAGTCCAGTTCAAGCTGTGCTTCATTTATTTTCCTTGTGAGCCCTGGAACAATCTGTTTTGCTCTCTCTTTTGCTTTACATGTCACCTTCTGTTTGAATGTATGCCAGATTGTCTGAGCATTCCTTGCTGATGTTTGCACTGTGAGTGCTTTCAGTTCCTGTTCTGCTTTGATCCCTTGTTCATGGGTATAGCTCGACAGGTCCTTATCCTTTATAACATAATCTGGTATTCTCCATTATCCCTTACCAATCCATGGTGCTTCTTCACTGGTTATTTGTACTGAAGCAAGACTGTGGTCTGCATTGGGTATACCGGATTCTCTTATTCTCCATTCTCATGCTGTTTCTAGTAGCGGATCTGTTACATTCTGTCAATTCTTGATTGTGATCCTGTTGCTGATTGCATGTAGGTGAATGATCTCCCATTTGGGTTAGTGGTTTGCCATCCATCATGGAGTTTGAGTAGGATTTCAAGGTCATCGAGAGCATTTGAGGCTTCTTTGGGGTCATCATGTGCTGGCATTCGGTCTAGAAGACCTGCCTCCACCATGTTATGGTTACCTAACATGATGTTTGGTTTGGGTGCAGTCGGTCTTGTGTCAAAGTATGTTTTGATATCCTTCCAGCATTGTGCAGTGTCTGATCCAGTGCTCCCAGAGACATTTGGTGCGTATACTGCAAGGTTGTCTTTTTTTTTAATCATTACCTGGAGAAGGAGGGCATGCCTGGGGATGATCTCATAAACCTTAGGTGTATCTGCCAGTAGCAACCGTTGATTAAGCACAATTGCTACCCCACCTCTGCATGTTGGGTTTATGGGATCATGAAATGCAAATATTTGGATCTTTTTATCATAGTGTTGTGTTATTTCATCCACTTGTTCGTCTGTCAGGTGTGTTTCCTGTAAAGCTAGGATGCCTAGTCATTTATCTTTCATCAAACACCATATGTGCTTCCATTTGTTATCTTGGTGTAGTACTCATGGGTTCCCATAACCTCAGATGTTCAGCATTCCAATCTGGATTGCTGCTTTCCTGGTTTTACTGTAAGACCTGGGTCAGAATAGGTCTTAGGGTAGGTTTTGGTATAAGGGGTTTATGTTGTAGCGTGCTAGGAGCAGGCTGGAGCTCGAAGGGAGCTACGGAAACGGCAACCGAGGATGGGAATGACCTAGTAGTGGTTGGGATAGGAAGATGTGACCCTTGGAGGGGTTCCTGTAAGGTCCAGGGAGGTCCCTAAGGCATAGATAGGGAAGGTAGAGGTACGGAACCTAGTAGCGTTGCATAGAAGGAGTTGTACTCGCTAGAACATCAACGTGAAATCGAATAGGTCGTAGAGAGATTGGGTCTTGAGTGTATATGTTCCTGAGAAGATATATGCCCGGGAGGGGAGGTCCCGGGATCCCGGGAACTTGTCATATGCATGCAATTCACCCCATATGCTTCCCGGCCCGGCCCGGAGCGGCCGGACTTCGGAATAATAACCTTGTGACCATCATTGTATTTATTTATTGTTCCGAGTTTTCATCAAGGTCTTCTGACTGTATTTGGGATGTATATAAGCTAGAATACTTTGTACGTTGTAGTCAAGCTTGAAATCAAGTGTACCATCTTATCCCAGTCTTTAATATCTTCTTTACCCTTTGCTTCCGGACTCCCGGATCATCAGGAACCCCATTTAGGCTGCTCATCCCAATCTTGCACTCTTGCCATAATTCCCGGGGACACCAACAGTGTGTGAAGGGTGTTGCTAATAGCTTCACCGACGTCCCACTCCCAGTGTGTACTACAGGCCAATACTCAATTCCGGACCTCGGAATTATCCTGGGCTATTCCTGGGCTAGATCCGGCCTCAGAACCTCTATAGCTATTGACCTGTAGGCACGGTCTTGTCAGAACTGGAGCTTAGAGGTGGGCGTCCTCGAGTGTTGGGGGTGGTAACGGAGAAGCGGCACGTAGTTTGATGTAGGGGGTAGCTTCGACGTTACCTAGATCGAGGTCCCAGAGCTTGTGGAGCAATTGGGGAGCTCGAGGAGGTTTTGGGGAGGTTGGCTCACCAAGGTGTTAGGCGTTGGGGAGCTTTAGTATTGTTCAAGGGAGCTCGGAGACTCACTCGGATTGCTTAGACATGGAGTAAAAGTGTATATTGGACTGTATAGATGGTCGTAGAGACAGTAGAGAAGAGTAGAGAGAAACTAAGATAAAGAAACAGAGAGTAAAGAGAAATCCATATGGTTAGCAGGTACAAAGGGACAGGGACTGGACCTATGCAAAAGGGTGTGTGTTCAAAATATACCAAGCTGGGGCTTGGGGATGTGTCAGAGCTACTTAAATAGGTACAGGAAGTGAACATGGGGACATCAGGGGCCATGAGGCATGTAATCGAGATTAGTACCTTAATGGGGTAGGTGTAGGAGGGCTTCTTACGCGTGTCAGGGAAGGTTGAGGAGTTACTCGTGTCAAGGGAAGAAAGAGGAAGGTGGTACTGAAGATGGTACTGTCTTGGGGAGGTACGGAGGTGGATCGGGGTGCAGAGGTGTGAGAGCGTATGGCTGATACTGGGGCTGTCCTGGTAGTCACCAGGGCATGAAGACATAAAAGGGAGCTATGGCTAACGGTCGAGGCATGACATTTATGGTCTTTTTGTACAGCTCTTCTCTGTCTTCGGTTTGATGGTGTACCTCTGGTATGGATTGGCTGTTGTCTGTCCAAGAGCCTCTCATGAGTATTTGGCCTTGGGCCTTCAGGTGTGTTCTGTCCTGGTTGTTCTTCCATTTGTGGAGCATTCATGCCAGTAGAGATGCTCCTGGATCTTGTTGGGTTACCCAACGCACTCACAGTTGAGTCATTTGGCTCATTTTGTCTCAGGTTGTGCATAATATTTCTGGTAGGTGAGTGCCTATCTTCACCCCATATGTCCCGAGTCACAGGAATTGCACGTTGAGGCTCCTGACCACTCTGACCTACCTGCCCGCCTATAATACGGCTATGACCTTCATTGGGGATTTGACCAGTGGGAGAATCAACCCCTCCAGTCACAGTTTCCCAGTAGTCCTTGCCAATTTGGTCCCTAATTCATGAATCAAAAAGCGGTCTACTCCCCTCAGAGCCATTAGGGGGCAAAGAAGAGAGTCCTCCACGTTCCATGGGGGAGGCACCCTCAGGTTTTGGTTACTCATAGTGAATTTTGGGTGGGTTGTGTTGTGGGTGTCGGAGCCAAGTTCCATGCCGATTTGACCTTCATAATTAAAGACTTACCATGTACTTACATTTGACTGTTTGTTCAAAGTTCCTGTCGACTCCTGTTAGTTTCCACTTACCAATTGAAATAGTCCGTTAGCAAAGTTTTGTATTTACACCCTTCCTCCAGTCATTGGAGGTTGAAGCGGCACTGCGGAGGGTGTGCCTGTGCTTCTGTCTGGCATCTCTCGTTGTCTTTAGTGGGTCTTATTCTTACACAATCTTCTCCAAATTCACTGGACATTTACCTAGACAGGGTAGTCAAGGGGTATATTAACAGATTGGGGTGACATTGAGCAGCATTTGTATATGTATGTAGTAAGCTCGTTAGCAGTTATTGAGATAAGAGTAGGTGTATCATGCAGTATAGCTAGAAACGGAAGCCTCTATTGATGTTCGTTCCATTCAGATCTGTTTCTGTGCCCTCTATAGAGTCCACATCCTCTTCCAGTGGGGTAGCCTCGCAGTGACCCACCCCACCTGTTTCCTCCACTACCACGGAAGCTTCCTTGACCCCGACCTCGACCTTGGGGAGTGATAAGGAAGAATTCACGTTTATCGTTGTGGGGGAATTCATCAATCAGATTCCTTTGTTCTTGTTTCCAGTCAGATGGGTTCTTGAGGGTCTTCGCATATGTGTCCTCGGTGGGGCCCAACCAGTGATCCTCATTGTTGATGGGGTAGGGGCATGCTGTTAAGATCATGTACACCGTGTAACCGTGCCAAAGTCACAAGGTGTCTAAGTGCGGAAGACGAGTGGGACAGTAGTGAAGTTATTAACAACACCGCCGTTACGCCGTTAGTCCCCGGAGAGCGAGAGTAGAGAGAGAGGAGCTAAGTAGCAGCCAGGTCGGAGCGGCGGAATCGCCGATGACGAGGAGCGAACCAGAGAACGTTAAAGTCCTAAGGTTGAGGAGAACGTACTTCGAGGCGTTGAGCCTGAAGACTTAGAGAAGAGTTAAGTTGAGAAGGGAGATCTAAGTTGATAATTAAACTGAGGAACTACAGTAGCGTACAGGCAGTATTTATATCTATGGAACGGCGCATCGGTGCGGAGCGCTAGACTAACTACTAGGAGCTATACGAGTAGTGCCTGCAGGGTAGAGTAAAAGACAATAAGGAGAGACTAGAACGAAAGAGTAAAAGACAATAATGAGAGACTAGAACGAAAGGATATGTGTAGCGAGAAAGAACAATAGGAGAGAGATTACAATAAAGAGCAGATCTTCGGAGTACCGAGCGGCAGAATGGAGGCCCGCGGCATGGACTTGACACATGCCCAGCTTGGATGTGTTTCGGCTTTGCACCCTACACATCCTATCACCCTGTTATCGGGTTTGAGCTGTTTGAACCTGACATAGATGATGGTGGAGCGGATGAGCTTGAGCCACTCCTGCTGTTCATAGGCATCATTGGAGATAGGTTACCCCTGGAGCTGGAGGTGTGGGCTTGGGTCACCTTCTTTGTTGTTGCAGCTGATGAAGACAAGGTGCCAGGATGATGTGAGGTCATCGAGGACCTGAGTCAGGGATTTCTGGGCAAGAGCTGCTGCTTCAGCTATGTGCTCCTTAGACTTCCTTTGGTTGTTGACATAATTGGCAATGAGCTTCTGCACTGTCTCCTTCTTCCAGATCATGCGTTTGATTTCCATTAGAGCATTGGCAAGTTCTTCAGCATCATCACTGACTCCTGAGCTTGAATAGTTGCAAATGACCCAACTCATCTTATCTTTATCAAAGAATTCAATCAAGAAGGTTGCGCCGGGCTCAATGAGTGAGATAAGGCCAAGGTCCAGTAGCCCGCTGGCTGGGTCTTGCCCCAGGTCATTGATCAGGCTCTCATGTTGCACGTTTACCCAAGGTTGGGTTTGTCCCAGAGAGTGACCCTGTCATGAAGCGGCAGAGGCGGAGTGACTAACAGAGCGGGGAAGCGGAGCGACTAAGCAGAACAGCGAGGCGGAGCAACTGAACAAGGCAACAAGGCGGAGCGACTAAGCAGAACGGCGGCAGGCTGGTCCTGGTCCCAGATAATGACAGAGAGGTCAAGATAAGGGACCAGGCTGTGGAGGGTTGGCTATATATACATAATCCGGTCTGCGAGAAACAACGATGTAATACTGTACAGTTTAGGAACAAGGAAGGTGGCGGAAGCCAGTAGAAGGAAAAGATGGGTCAGGTGGATCAGTAATCGATGGGGGTTTGACAGTGATGGGATGATGTATCGTACAAGTAAAGGCGTCGGGACGGTGAGAAAAGGAAAATGATAGGGGCTGCGTACTTTATGACATTACCCCCCTCCTTATGACCATTGCCCTCGATGGTCAAGGCTTTGCCGCTGTTGGGTGTTTTTTATGAAAGGCCCGAACAATTTTTGGTGCTCGACTGAGGTTGGCTGCAGGTTCCCAAGAGTTGTGCCCTGCGTCGTAACCTTTCCACTTAACCAAATATTCCAACTTCTTCCATCGAACCCGGCTGTCTAAGATCTCCTCTACTTCGTATTCCGGTTCGTCTTCATCCTCTAAGTATACCGGCTCTGGTGGTGTTGGTATTTCGCCATTAATGGAGTTACCTTTCCAGGGGTATAGTTTATCAACATGGAAGACGGGATGGAGGCGATCTAGGGATAGGGGAAGGTCAAGGCGGTAGTCTAAAGGGCCAATTTTCTCCAGAATGTGATAAGGGCC